ACCCCATCAAATCAAATCAACTGCTGTGGTTGTTTCTTTTTTTAACTTGCAACACAATGCCCAATCCAACTATTTGAATCTACTACTATTTTATTATCTCTTTTTTTCTCCACCTCAATACTTCATACTTGATCTTAGCCAAAAGGCCGAGAAGCAATGTCCACTTCAAAACTTCTAACAGAACTTTGCAGAAAAGCAAACAAGATAGTTTTCTCACAGATCTCATCTTCATTGTTTCCCTAGAACAGTGGCCACCATAAAATAGGAATGTAATACATATTTACAGAATTAGTGAATGAATCAATGCAGAAAGAAATGAAAACAGTGTTAGAGTTTCTTCATTATTCTTTAATTGTCTTGAGTTTCCCCTTCTGTGAGGTGAGAGGGTGATTTGTCAAGGAACATAAACACTTCATGCCACGCCATGGGTAAGAGAGTATGTACAATCCACAAGACTGGTTAGAGCCATCCATGCAGATGCAACAGGATGCTTATGACTTGCTGTCATCAGCAGTCAGTTTAGGCAGTCAGGACAACTGTTTAGGTTCTGAACAGAAGCTACCTTCTAAGGGTTCCTTTCTCCTGTTTGCCTTCTCTGTGACTGTCCTCTCTGTGGATGAGTTGCTTGTGTGACTCTGACCAGTTGACTCTTCCATGATGTAACACTCGTGGTTCCATCACCAGTCACAATCTATATCTAAGTAGGAATGTTAGGGGAATACATCTTATTTAAACTGGTTTAGCCAAATGTGATTAGACTACACAGGTATTTTTTTCCAGATGGATTCTTACTTTTTACCCAGCTCCTCTGGGCCATTCCATCTTCTCTCTGCTGCAGACACCACCTTCCAGTTTTAAAGAGCTAGAGCCACCTGAATTCTGACCTGGGAGTCCCCAGGCTTCTTTACATTACCTCTGGCAAGGATCCTTATCCTCAAGTCTTTCATGATTATCTCCAGCTAGCCAGTGGTCTCTTCACTTTTGGGTACTGCAGCTTGTGATCTGCATTCAACTTTGCTTTTTCTGCTACAGATTTGTCATTATAACAAGACTCCCACAGATAAGCTGAAGTTCCAGTTTGAAAGAGGGCATTTATATATTTTCATTCACATCTTTTTTCATGTCACAAACTGTTATCAATAAAAATACTGGGTACGTTATATAACCATACTGTATGGTTTTGATGTTTTCCAACCTGTCAAGTCCTTTGGTGATATGTTGCACACATTACCACATTAATTTTTCCCTATATTAATCATTTTTGAATTTTTTTTGCATTTTATGATGCTTTCATATTGTGGGACCCTGCTAATTCCAGAGAGGCTGTCCTTTCTAGGACTACCCTATTTTTAGTGAGAGTATACAACTTGCCTTTCAAATTGCAAATTGATCAGTCTGAACCCTTGACCCCCCAAACACTCCTTGTATCTAATTCTCACACTCTAAGGCAATATCTCTCTTACTTTGTTACAGGTTGGATTTAAAATATCATAAATGATGTGAGAAAATCTTGACTGCCAGCTGATAAGACTTTTGGGGAAAGGATCAGATCATGAGGGCTCTAACTTCATCAAGCTGCTTGATCCACTGAGATCATAATCTGATGGCCTATTGGGAGGTGAAAGAAACAGCAGGTTGGGCCTAGTTGAAATGTCAGAAGCCTGACCTTAGGACCATATCTAGTGTCTGGTCTCTTCTTCTCTGCCTTTCTCACTTTCCCTCTGCTTTCTGCCCATCTGCCATGATGTTTCTGCCTTGTCATGGGCCTGAAAGCAATGGAGCCAGCCAACCCTGGGCTGAATCCTCTGACACCATTAGCCAAAACAGACTTTTCCTTCAAGATGTTCTTTTCAGGTCTTCTGTCACAACAGTGAAAAGCTGAAAAACACACAGTAAGCCACCCCACATTCAGGTTGAAGCCAACTAGAGATCACCTTGATAGCCCGGAGCCGGCCAAAAACATTTAAATTATACAGTCCAAAAGTGGATGAAATTGGTCCACTCTTCCTCACCTGGTCATCCCATGGGATGCACAATAAAATCTCTGCAGTGCTTTCTCTTTCTTTCTGCCTCCTGACTAATGTTGGTGGTTCCCTACGTGTCTCAACACAGCATGAGTGGTGCACCCCTTCGACTGGGAACAGTGAACAATACACTCTTGTGTCAGGGCAATCTGTGTATCTGTCATCTCACTATTCCTAAGACAAAATTCAGGGTACATGTTAAGAAACTCCAGTACTTGTAAGGCAAGTAAGGTGGGGATGACCAGGTACCAGTCATGCACTGAAGAGATGAGGAGTCAGTATCTGAGCAGACATTTAACTTCAGAACCAGTTTTCCTAGTCAATGTTAATCTATCTTTATATATGATTTCATATCTTCATATTAATTAGGGGCCACCATATCATAATACTTGGCCAAAGCAGTTCATAGAAAATGCCTAATATGAAGTAGTTAGTCCTGTTCACTCTGAAACTCAACTTTTTTCCAATTTCAATGTGGCTTTAGCCTTAGATACTAGAAATGGACATCTAGCCCATAACAGTGCCTTACAGATTATTAAAATCACCTCAAAACTGCAGACTAAGGCAGACTGACAGATCAGAATTTTCAGTTATTTCTCTGATTCATTAGTCCTTATTTGGAGTGAGTGCACAGATACTTAAACAGGAGTCAGACTAACAGAAGAGAACAGACACAGGCCTGCTCTTTAGGTCCCTGGATGCCTTTAGTTGGGGGAGACAGCTGGGCAAAGAGTAAGGTGCTTGGTTTATTCCTTTTCAATAATAGAACCTGCATTATTGTAAAGCTTATGCCTCCCTTCAGCCTACCTCTCTTCTTTCCCAGCCTCAGCCATCCTTTTCCTGTGTGGAATCTCTGGGGCTCTTCCTTTCTTTGTTTCTCCAATAACTCTCCCTACCACCAGCCATCTTTCACATGCTGACAGAGCAACTGCCCTCCTCTCCTCTCCTGAAAAGGAACAGGACCAAGAGGCAAAGAAATAGAGCTTGGTCCCCATAACTGAGTAGCAGAAATGGATGACCTGGGCTGCCCCCTGAGCAGACTGCACTATTGCCACCCACTTGGGTTCAAGATACTCACTCACTCCATAGCTGAAAAAAACTGTAGACAGTCTCAGGTTTTCAGCTTTATGCAGGTTAAAGCATAAAAGGGAGCTTTTCCTGTTGTTGATACTAGACCAGATCATCATAGGGTTGAGAAGATTATGCACAACATGAATATAGAAAATTGAGGTACACTCAATGTGTGCCATTGAAATTGTTGAAGGATCCTCAAATTCTTTTTTCCTCCTTTTTTGGAGACATGGTTTCGCTATGTAGCCCAGGCTGGCCTGAACTTGAAGCAGTCCTCCTGCCTCAGCTTCCTGAGTTCTGGGATGACAGATGTGCTCCACCACACCCCTGGCTCATCCTCAGATTCTGAGTTTAGCTACTCTGGAAACCCTCAGCCTCTCTGCATCCTTGCACCCCTCAACCTTGCAGCCCAGGATTTCAGGATGACTGCTCTGCTGCATTCCTGCCTAAATTCTGCCCGTTCACTGGAAAAGGTCTAATATGTGCTTTCCCTGTAGCTGATACAACTAGTGGTAAGTATGCTTTTTCCCTAAGATGCTCAAATTAACATTTTTAAGCCTAAAATTATATGTGAGCTAACCATTTTACAAGGAGGACTGGGGCAGTATGTGCTTGTGTTCAGTTCCCTGGAACGGAGAGAAGTAGTACCTCTTAGTATCCGTGGGCACCGAAAGTAATAAATGCTAAGAGCTTAATGCTTATTTTTGAATTACATTTCATTTTGCCAATTGTGCAGAGCCCAGTCTAATTTAACAAAAGGGTCTGAGATAGAATACAGTAGAGCAGATGCACATAGCAACCATTAAATTAGGATACAAGAATGAGAGCCATGCAGTGAGAGGTGCTTTCTGCTAGGCGGAGCAGGAACAAGAATAATGAGCGGCCCAAGGAAAGCGGGAGCGCTTGGGTTGGGAACTGAAGGAAATGAATCAGAGCCCAAAGACAGAGGTTGGCCTCTAAGAACACCGTATCCCTGGGTCCCCAGGCAGTACTGCTATGGGTCTCCTTCCTGTGATCATAAAGCCATAGACATTTTATGAAGATCAGTCCTACCACTTTTTAGGGTTTCCTTGTGTTTTTCTCAGGTTTTGCTTTTCATTACAATAAAATGCATGGGTAATGAGGGCTATTTTGCATGTCGTGCTGTAAGAAGAAATTCAGATTTGCCAGTCATGGGAGCAGGGGGGAGCAGGTGTCTTAGAGGTTGGTCAGGAGAGCAGGGAGCGCAACCCTATTTTTCTTCACAGGCACAGGGGAGCTCTGCCTCGGGACCTCAGCTCGCCTAGGTGCCCAGCCCGCGGCAGAGTAGCGGGTACCCAGGCTAGTTCTGCTACCTAGGGTGGGGAACGTAGTTCAGTCCTCAGGGAGGGGTTTGGCAACTTCAGCGTCGGCAACAGAGAGGGAAGGTGCTGGTGTCAGCTTTCAATTTGCTGCTTTCCCCAGAACTCCCTCCCTCTCCGGTCTGTCCCCCCTCCAGCTCCCCACCCCCACCTCGGCAGTGGGGGAGTCTCTGAGTGGGGCGCAACACGCTGGGCTTGCCTGGGTGTCGGGGACCGTGGAGCCCGGTGCGGTCCGGGTTCAGCCCCGAAAAGATCCCCAGCCCGGGTGCGCGGCCGAGGCCGGCGCGGCGGGGGTTAAGGTGGGCCTGCGCCCCGCGTCCGCACCGCCGGGATGAGCGCGCAGTCCGCGCCGCCCGCTCGCTCCAGTCGGCACCCGGAGAAAGTGGTGGTCAGGGATGGAGCTGCTGCCATGACAACCCCGGCGATCTGGGCCCGCGCGCGTCGGGGCTGCTCCCCGGAGGAAGGCGGTGCGGAGGCCGGGGGCGGCCGCTGAGCGAAGCGTGGCGTCCGCGCGTCCCCGCGTCCCGTGCCGCGTCCCGGAGGAGGCGGGGGGCCGCCGCAGCGCCCAGCGCGCCCAGAACTGCGCCGGCGGCGCCCAGAGGGCTGGAGGACGCGGCGACCGGGTTCCGCGGCTCGCACCGCGGCCTCACGCGGAACTTTTTATCGCCTTTGGGTTCCAGATGTGAGACTTGGGACTGGTTTATAAATACGTCCGTACATATGTGTGAGCTAATAAAACATTTTCTCTTCTTGAAGCGGGAGCGTTTTTACGACAGCTCCTTGATGTCAGAGCCACTTGCCGCCTTCTTTGGGTTATAAACTTTTGATGCCAGACCGCTGCAGAACGTGCCCAACTGAATCTTAAAGTAGCATCTTGAAGAGAGAGGCAGAGAAAGCGCAATCTGTGACCTTCCTCCTTGCACCTTCCTTCCTCCTCGCCCTCCCTCTTCCCTGGGGAGCATCGAGAAAGCTCTTCCTGGATCGGGAGGGGGCATCTGGTTCCGCTGGGCTGGAACGCTGAGGCAGGACCCGGGAAGAATTATTAGACTCTGGAGAGCCCGACTCGCCGCCCTCGCCCCTCGGCTCCCGCCGCGCGCTCTTCCCTTCCTCCCCACGCCACTTCCTGAGACCGGCTGGTGCGCGCACGGGGCGGGGGACCAGGACCTGCCGCGGCCGCCGAGTTCTGGGAAGTTGTGGCAGTCGAGGATGGGGGTCTGTGGGTACCTGTTCCTGCCCTGGAAGTGCCTCGTGGTCGTGTCTCTCAGGCTGCTGTTCCTTGTACCCACAGGAGTGCCCGTGCGGAGCGGAGATGCCACTTTCCCCAAAGCGATGGACAACGTGACGGTCCGGCAGGGGGAGAGCGCCACCCTCAGGTAGGGAGCCGGCCTTCGGCGGGGCTGAGCCCCTTGGACTTGAGTTCCTGGGGAGGGGCCAGGTGGAGAGAGAATGAAAGAAGGCTTCTGTGAGGAGCGCTGGAGCGCAGGCTAGGGCCTTCTGCAGGCCCAAGAGGTGGCCAGTTTCGTCAGTGTTTGCGGAGACCCATTTGCTTGGACAGATTTGTCCTTTGGTCTGATTTTTCTGACCTGTGCTTGTGCCAGTTAACCTTGAAGTCCGCATTTGGGGCGTCATGTGTTTGTGGGGACATGACAAGGTTGGATTCACTCTTGGTTGTCTACCTTGATGAATGAGGACGGGAAGGGCCTGGAGTGGAGCCCGGGTGCTCTCTCCCAGGCCGGAGGTGTGTGACAAGGCGACAAGGCCAGATGTTGCTCAGGATGGTCAGGCCAGCGCCTTTCAGAGGGTTACTAAACAATGTGAGGCCCTGGAGTTGCCACCGCCAGGCCGGGGCCTGCTAGGAGTGTGTTCAAGACACAGCCACTTGTGCCAACCCCATGTGGTGTGCCTGGGGCTCCTGCTGTAAATTATGAGAGCTTTTTATTTTTGCAGGCTGGGGCCAAGGAGAGGGTTGTAGCTTTTATGCAACGCCATCACTCCCGGGTGAGAAGCACAATAGGGAAGTGTTTTGTTTTACCTTAATGAGTTACAGAGTCACTTAAGAACTGGAGGCCAGGGTGGAGATTGTTGGAATATGCACCTTTGGGGACTGGGCCTGCTGCAGCAGAGACTTTAATAAAAATGCAGCCACCACTTTCCACCAGCTCAGCAGATATCATCTTTTATCCCTTTAATGAGGCAGTTTTGGTCCTAGGAGACAGATTCAGGGACGTCCCAGCTTAACTATGTCTCACAATGAACACAGGGTGAATGCGTTTGCCCTGTCTATGACTTTGATGGTTATGACGAAAATAAAACACTGTGACCCAGATTCTGCAGCCCAAATGCCTGGCTTCTACAAGGAAAGAGTGAGAGTGGGATTTCCTTCCTGTTCTTTCCTGGGTTTTCCTGGTGGGATATTCTCAAAGGGAGAAGGAATGGAGGCCTTTGGGACACACATCTTGGTTTCCCAAGGCTTGTGGTTAAGTTTAGATTCTTGCTACTTTAGGTGGTTCTCAGCTGAATCTCTTTTTTTTTTGAGCTCAAGAACAAGTCCCAGATTCCTATCTTCTGGTGCTTGGAGGTTGGAGGATGGAGAAAAAAGGAGGACAGAGATGTCCCTCACACACTGCGTAGGGGACATGTCCTCCTGGCCCTGTGGGCATCCCTTATCCTATCCCAAACAGGAATGTGCTATCCCCACTTCACTGTTTCAAGGGAGGTTCTGAGTCTGCTCTGGAGAAATAACTTGTGGGACACGCATTTGCTGCAGATCGGTGTGCTAAAATATAGGAGGAGCACACAGCCATGACACAGGTCAGCCATGGAGATATGAACAGATGTTAGTCTTGGGAGGCGAGCTGACACGGCCACATAGCTCTTTACTTTTTCATCTTTTCCTGTGGACAACAGACAGGTTCAGCATTGAGGAGAATCCCAGGGCTAAACTTTCCAAAACTCTCTGTCCTCTGCCTGCCCCTCAGAATGAACCCAGAAACTTAAAAACTTGAGCTGTTTTCTGGGATGCATTAAGATGGCTCCACCAGCAGAGGGCCAGCTTTGATCTACCATTTTTTATTAGCTGCTGGCCTGTTTTCATGATCTTCGGTTCTAATGTTTAGCAGCTGTGCTTGGTAATGGGAATGGGAATAAAAAAGGAAAAGCAGAATAGTTGCTTTTTGTGCTTTGTGGAAAACAAACGACAGCTCACATGGTCAAATGTAACGGTTATCCTCTATTACCTGATTGCGTGGTGTAATTTTTTTAAAGTAAGAACATGTCTTGTGTTGACTTTGCCTCTCTTCTATACTTTTTTTTAACCACCAGACTACAGAAATTTAGTACCTTATTTCACATCTAAATAATTTTACATTTATAGACTCCTCTTTTATTACTTTCTTCTTTTGTTTTTAGCAGATGCCTCCAACTGACATGCTTTTGTTTATTATTCATTCCCTTCCTTTCTTGCCTTCACCTCTTCATTCTTATTGTTCCATGGTTTTTTAAAGGTTTTAATTTCACTGCTATCACAGTGTTTCTTAAAAGAACATAAACATCTCTTGCAAATTTCTGTGGGTCTCAGTCTCTTTCCTTTTGTTTTCCACATGTCTTTGCTTTATGGGCTAACACTTGTGTTCTCTTCTCAGCAAGAAACTTACTTGTCAATACTCTGAGGAAGAGGCCATGTTTCCAGTCACTGGAAACCCAGGCCTCTAACCCTATGGAAATGTACCATGCTTTATTTGGTCCTGCTTTTTGGTTTTAAAACATTAGAATTCTTATCTATTTATGTGTTTTTTACATTGCTGGGAATCTAATTATTTATGTTAAGCAAGTACTCTACCACTGAGCTACACACCCACCCCTGTAATTCTTAAGTATAGTCACTCTTTGGTTTCCTTATAAGTATTCACTGGGAATTTATTGCTTGGGAATTTAGTTCTAAATACACCAAATGTTCAGAGTGTATAAAAGCAAAAATGTTACCAGTGCCTATGAGCCATACAAAGCCTTTGCAATTGTGAGTGCCCTGGGTAAAATTATCTCTAGTCTATTTCTAAATCTTGAACAAAGTCAGAGAAGGAGCGAAGAAAACCTAGTAGGAAAAGCAAAGAGACTGAGAAGCCTGGGTCCACCTTCAGATGTTTTACAGCTTAAAGAAGAGTGATTTCCTTCCTGTGGGATATCGGTTTTGTTGTGACAGTTCTTTGATTACACAAGGGGACATTAAGAAGTGATGTGTCAATGACAGCACTCAAGTTTGGAACGTGGGTGAAAACTCATTTTATGTAAGTGAGGCAATATTATCTCCCTCATAACTACTTCACAGGCCTACTTGAAAAGTAAAAATAATTATTTGAATATTGAGTTATTTTGCCTTTTTTGAAGAGAGATGATATGGAAAATGAAGGTGCTATTCACTATGGTTGGTTGAATTATAGCTTCTATGAATCTGATTTGAATTCATTATTACAAATGGGCCCTCTTGGCCAGAATCATTTCATTACAATTATCTGCTCTTGGGTTAAAAATGTCCCGAGCGTTTCCCTCAGATTAGATATGACAAGTATCTAGAAGTCCTGTGTCTGAATCAATACACGCAGGAGGACGAGGACTCAGCCCATGATTGTGAGTTCACGGCCCGTTGGCCTCTATGAAGCCATCTGAGCTGCACAGAGGTCCCAGGTGTACCTTCTCCATCAGCTTTTGTCACCCCTGAATTTGTAGTTTCTCTGTGGGGCCATGTCATACACCCATTTGGACATTTTGAGGGGCACCATAGAGTAGTCCTTGTGGTTGTTGCTGTAACCATTTTACTCAATGGGAATGATTCCCACCAGCCTACTGGTTTGTTTTGTTTTATTTATTTATTAATTTTTCCAACAGCAGAATAATCAATTTGGCTGATCCAGGCATACTGATCTGGGATTATGCTTAATGACTCTTTTCTAAATTGTCCTCGCACTTTGATTTGGAGTTCTGAGCTAATCCACTCAGAATCCAGTATGTGAGGCATGTCGACTGCCAAGGAATAATCTGTGCGGTGGGATTCTGCCAGAGCAAGTGAGGCGCTGGATTTCCCAAGTACAACATTCTGCTGTGCATCCAGGTGTTTTCCTGTACTCGCACTCTCCACAGGCAGATTTTCCTTTTGTGTAAGTTAGGAAATTTAGAGCACCCTTTAGGTTATTAAAACACCCACATGATTTTTGCGTCTCAGGGCTTAAGGTCTCGAAGCTACATAAGGACTGTTTCAGTGTTAAGGTGGGCTGGGAAGGTGAAGGTTATAAGGAGGCAAGTGAGTAGGTCCAGATCCAGAAGGGATAGGGCTGCTTATATGATGATGTCAGCCTGGTTTGCTAGTTCGTGCTCCTAGTATGCTTTTTTAAAATTCCACTTGGGCTTGGAGATGCAGGTCCCTGGTAGAGCACATGCTTTGTTTTCTTAAAATTGTGGGTTCAGTCCCCAGCACCAAAACAAATAAGCAGACTCCAAAAATCTAACACTGTGCTGGCAGACTGAAATCAACATTTCTGAAACTGAGCATGAAAGTGGGCATTTACAATATTTCTTGTAGTATTTTTAATGTGGAGCCAGAATTAAGAAGCACTACTCTAAATGTTCTCTACCCTAGAGCATCTGAGCAAGGCTAGGATCCACAGTCCCTCTCTCCATCCTTCCTTTTGGAGTGGCTCTGTGATGGTGACTCTTGATTGTGGACTTGACTGGCTTCAGAGGCACCCAGCAGATTAGTAGAGCACACTTCTGAGTGTGTCTGGGTGTGTCATGGGAGTGTGACCTTGGGGTCCTTGGCCCCTTCTTCTCAGGCTCTTTGTCTTTCTGATTCCTCTGTTGTCAAGCCAGCTGCTTTCCTCCACCTTGCCCTTCTACTACAGTGTTTCTGCCTTGGAGCCAGCAGCTGTAGACTGAAACTTCTCACACTGTGAGCCAAGGTAAACCTCTCTGCCCTTAAGTTCCAACAATTAAATCTCTTCCACATGTGCTTGCACCTCGTGACTACTTTCATGCTCTAGAATTTGCTGGGCTCAGGGCCTGGATCATTCATTCACTGTGGTTCTTATTCTGCCTCACATTAACTGCATGAGTTTGAACACTTGAGTTCAGTTATGTATGTATAGGAAAAATATGTACCTTGAGATGGCAGAAGACAAGGTATATGGCATTTTTCTGTTAACTTCAAAGTGACATATCAGGTCATCCCTTGGTATCTATGGAACAGAAAAACCCAGGGATGCTCACGTTCTGAATACAAACTGTCAAATTATCCCCATATAACCTGTGCACAACCTTATGTACACTTTACATCATCCAAGACTTTTTTTTTGAGGTACTGGGAATTGAACCCAGGGGCTTTGCA